CCCCCAAGTAGTTTCCCATCGTTACATTGTGAGTTCACTCCCACCACGACAAGATTTGGCTAAAACGAAACCAACGGTTCTACGATTACACGTGCTTTGCACAAGTGCAACGAAAGAACCGTCGCGCAGTTTCTCCAAGGCGCCGTAGCCCGTTAATTTATTGCCAGGGTACCTACTGCTTCGAGATAGAAAACAAACATCACGTGCATCGGCTTGAAAATGTCCGAAATGAAGAGGACCACCAACGTATCCCTTGCTCCGAGTTGGAAAGTACAATGTACGTTGTCTATCTCGAGGAGCAGGGAAAAAAATTTACCGACACGTGTAAATTGACGCTGCTTGGACCTGACCGACCACCCTTGTAGAGGCCGGAGCGGAATTTTCGGTTATTTATGGCTCAAAATCTTTGGTCTCGTAGCAATCGTGAACTCACAACAGAAGATTGTTTAAAGAAAGGGATTATTCTGGAATTCAATGATATTACTACATTCAATATCAAAACAAACACAATATTGCAAATTATATGGTTTTTATATTTCTAGTAATTTCCGAGATATTTGACGGAATACTAAAAAAAATACGTATGAAATATTTTCATGAGAGCTACAATTTCACAGAGTTGAAATAAAATTGTCGATTGTCAATTCTGTTGTGAGTTCACGGTTGCTACGAGGCCGAAGATTTGAGCCATAAATAACCGAAAACTCCGCTCCGGCCTCTACAAGGGTGGTCGGCTAGGGCCAAGCAGCGTCAACTTACACGTGTCGGTAAAATTTTTTCCCTTCTCCTCGAGGAAAACAATGTACATTGTGCTTTCCAACTCGAAGCAACGGGCACGTTGGTAGTCCTCTTTATTTCGGAGATTCTCAAGCCGATGCACGTGACGTCTGTTTCCTATCTCGAAGGAGTAGGTACCCTGGCAGTAAAGTAACGGGCTACGCGCTTTGGTGAAACTGCGCGACGGTTCTTTCCTTGCACTTCTGTAAATTACGTGTTATCCTAGAACCGTTGGTTTCGTTTTACCTAAATCTTGTCGTGGTGGGAGTGAACTCACAATGTAACGATGGGAAACTACTTGGGGGTAGAGGAAAAATTCTGTCAGTCGGTTAGCAATCGGGCGACAGAGATGTTCAGTTCACGGAAGTATTACGCAATGTTATGGTGGTACGTACACAGTAACGGATATGCAGGTGTTACTGTGCAAGTGTTTGGTTACATAAAACATCTGAAAAATTGAAAACAATCGGTCCTTTCCGGGGCCACGAATTTTCCTAACGTAGTAACAACACGTTGGATTAAAAATACATTAAGTGATTGTGTCGGGTGATCAGTGTTAGTGGTCGTGCAGTGAAGCGAGTACGTATTCTGTGGAATAACCAGGACGCACTTGACGTTACAAC